GGATAGGAATTTAGAGGACAGAGTTCCTGGCTTTATGTCTTAATGGAGTAAGGAGATAGACATTGACACACGCTGTAATGCACTATGGTGAATGTTTTAATAAAAAGCATGGATAAAATACCACGGGCTGTGATTCTCATTCTGGCACGGGTCTCCAGAGATTACGTCGCAGGTTAGCAGCCTAAGGAACAGCGAATAGGAGGATGGTACATAGAGATCTTCTCCTTTGAAGGAGAGATTTTTAAGTAAAAAGAAACAATGCTTCCGAAAAAACTATCAGAAAAATATTTGTTCAGGGGTAAAATCTTCTAGAAAATATGAATTCGAGGTCTCAAGACCTTCTGTTTGGATGTGCCGCTTCTATATCTTCGTGTGTTCTTCACCAAAGAAGTAGGGAGCCTCACAAAAGCAGGGAACTGCAGGCATGGAGCCCTGGCCATCACTGTGCTCCTGTCTCTATAGATGGGGATGGGGGGCTCTCAGCACAATGTCTACCTCTCCCTCCCACCAGTGGCCTGCCCACTTTATATCTCATTAAGCAATTCAACCATATCTTAGACCCCAAGAAAGTGATCAGAGTGAAGCACTGATGTGCCCCATTAATCATTAATCTCTCCCCCCATCCTCAGGATTATTGTGGTGGGACGGTATTTAAGTGGGGGTAGGGGTGAGGCCCAGGAGAGTCTGCCTGAGCTTCACTGAGCTGGAGTGAACAAAAGGGTGGGGTGCTCCCCGGGCTAGCTGCTGAGCTAGAAATAGCACATGCACAGAACCAAACACACCCTCCAGAAAACCTCATAAGAAATGAGTTGTTAAGCTGAGAGGAACTTTTATATGAACAGTAAAAAACAAATCTAGGTGAACCATGCTAGAAGAAATCCAGCTAATTTAACAATCTTGCCATTCTACAGAAAGTATTAAAAATAACACAAGGGAAGGCTCAGTCAGTTTGCAGCCCCAAACATTAGGAAAAGTGGTACTAGAATGTATGATAGGACAGTAGTGATTAAAAATAATAATGTTCTAGATTTCTTATTTTGTTTGTCAGATTTTTTAAACTCTATATTGACTTTGCATAATTATGTGATTATAAAAATAAAACACATATATAATATATATAACAGTTTGAATGGGCCAAAAATAGTCCAGCTTCTTGTGCACCATAAGGAAAGAAATGCCAAGCATACACCTTGTAATAAGTAGTAAGTAGCTATGTTTATTGAAGACCACGAGACAGTAGCACCAGGAACAGGGTGAAGGGCAAACGGAAGGACAGCAACCCTCAGGGAGTACTCACACAATTCAGGCTTCCAGTATTTAAAGGGTCAGGCACTGCTAACTCAGGTGCCTCCCATTGTGGTCAGACACTTCTAACTCCAGCTGGCTCCCATTCTGTCATTTACTGGTATGGATGACATCATGACCTCCTGAGCACAAACGTGGGCAATTATTAGAGTGCTGTTGGGTTTGTAGTTGAATGAAAGGAAGGAAATCGCTCCCTTAACTTTTCTGTTTCTAACTGCATTGTATATATATTGTTACAGATGGTATCCACACAACCAGTGCCAGCCTTCCCAAGACCCCCAGTGATGGGCACTTCAGCAAAGTGTGACCCCTGCCTTCAAAAATCAAAGGGTGGGCTGGGCGTGGTGGCACACACCTGTGATCCCAGCACCGGGAAGGTTGAGGCAGGAGGATTGCTGTGAGTTCAAGGCCAGCCTGGGCTACAAAGTGAGTTCAAGGCCAGTCTGGACTGCATAGCAAAATCCTGTCTCAAAAAAGACAAAAAGAAAAAAAAATCAGGGTGAGGTTTACAAGGCTGTGTGTTTAACACACAAGCATGCTCTCTTTCTTCCTTCCTCCCTGCCTTCCTTTCTTCCTCTTTTTCCTCTGTCTTAAACTCAAGTAGGAGGGCCGGGGATATAGCTCAGTGGTACAAGTGCCTGCCTGGCAAGCACAAGGTTCTGAGTTCAATTCCCAGTGCAAAAATTAAAAAAAAAAAAAAAAAAAAAAAACCTCAAGTAGGAGACAAACAACCCAGTTAAAAAATAGGCAGAAGATTTTCACATACAATTCACAAAAGGAGATATATGAACGGCTATTAATTGTGCAAAAAGATGTTCAATATTGCTGGTCATCAGAAAAAGGAAAATTCAAACCACTGTAAGACAACACTTCAATGGCTAAAGAATGCAGGACAACAGTCCCAAGTGTTGACAAGGATTGTTACAATCTGGACTCTCATCTATTGTCTGTCAGAATGAAAACCAGCCATAGCCAACTTTGTGTGACAGGGTGGCAGCGTCTTGGATATCAAACACACACTGAGCACGTGTCTGAGCAACGTCGTGCCTCTGTATTTACCCCAGAGAAGGGAATGCCTGTCTATGCAGCAACACACGCATACATACTCGTTAATCCTCTCAGCAAGAAACCACCAAAGAGTTGCAGCATATTCACACATGGGATACTGATCAGCAGAAAAGCAAACGAAATATTAGTATGTGCAACAAGTGGATGAATCTTAAAAGCTTCATGTAAAAGATAGTCAAAGATTATACATATGTGATTCCATTTATGTGAAATTCTAGAGAAGGCAGCACTAGGTAGCTGCAGTTGGAATCAACAAGAGGCAGGCAGAGGCCCTTTAGAGGAAAGGAATTGTATATCTTGCTTTGGTGGGGTTTGTGTAATTACCAGAATTCACCAAACTGTACCCTTAAAGGGGATGAATTTTCCAGAACACAAATGATGCCTTTTTAAAAAAAAAAAAAAAAATCCCACAAGCTGGTTGTTTAAGCGCCTTTCAACCTGTTGTCCCCTCAGCACTGGCATGAGCAGACCTCATTATTGGAAATAAGGTCAGCCCAGGCTCTTGGCTTCCTTTAACTCAGAGCTGCGGATCCAACTGACATTGACCGATTTCCAGTGGGTTCCACGGTGCGTCCCAGGCGGAGGCTGATGGAAACAAGCTTGTGTTTCTGTCGCTAATGATAGGAGCTTCATCGAATTCTCTGCCAGGCCATGTTGGTTGTCATTGCACCCATTGAAGCCAAGAACAGAGCAATAATGAGCTGGGTGTTATCAGCTCACAAATAATTTATAATAGGCAAACTAGGACAGGAACAGAGCTTTTTTTGGCTAAGGAGGTTGCATGTCACTCTTTAAAATCTAGGCCAAAAAATTATTTATAATGCATAGACAGTCGCTCAGAAAGTGAAAGGTTCCTTTCTTCTCTCTCTTCTCTTTGAATACTGTACCTTTTACCCTGAGCTAGCAGTGAGGGCCTCAGCAGCTCCCCGCCACACCTGCCACAGCCTGTGATGTGAAGCAGCTTGGCTAGAAGCAAAGCCTTTGCAGAAACCCCTCAATCCCAAACCCAAGAACCAGTAGGAAGAAAGCAGAAGAGAAGAGAAAAGGCAGACCCTCAGGAGAGACTAGTGACCATGCACTTGTGGTGGGCTTTGAACAACTGCTCATACATGATCAGGAAACAGCTTAGAGTGACAGAAGCCAGTGTAAGAGGGTTTGTAAATGGGTGTATTGAAATAAAGACACGCTGTGTTATGGTCAGAAGCAAGCAGCAGAAACACCCATTGTGATATTTAGGTAAAGAATATTGTGGTGTATCCCTTGTTCCTAAGGGCTGTTTGGGGAAGCAGGGTCTTCCCTGATACCGATGCTTATAGACATGGATTCCTGCCCCAAAGGAGGACAACCACAGTCACCTGCATCTGCCATCCTGACCGCACACTGGCCAGCATCCCCCTAGGAGGAGTCAGCTCCCCAAAAACCTTGACTGTAGGGCCTGAGCTGCCTGACTAGCAGACTGACCCTGTAGGCAGCTCTACCATGGTGGTCCCCGTTCCCTCTTCTGGGGCTGGTTTTCTAGGACAAGTCCATCTTGGGCGTACTCAGGAGGAGTGGGACAGCTTTTTCAGCCCTGGGTCCCCTCAGAATAGGCTGGTGATTGACAAAGTGGATTTAATGTGTTGCTAAGAACCATGGTCCGTGAGCAGCACTGCCTCCGGTGCCTCCTCCATCACTGGGTCTGGTTCAGTTGTGTTAGAGCTCTGACTCCCTGCCTGATGCCTGTGGACCTTGAGGTTCCTTAGAGGCACCTAAGGAAGGTCCCTCCCCTCAAACTAAGCCACTTCACTTTCATCTCTTCTAAAGGTGGGATGACACTTTTTTTACATAGACTTCATACTTTATTAGAGTACTTAAGGGTCACTGCAAAATTGAATGATAGGTACAGAGATTTCCCGCATACCCTGTGCCCTGTGGATGCACAGCCAGTCTTCAGTTGCACTGTTGTGGCTGCCTTGAGGTTCTGAATTGATTTAAAGCATCTACCTATCATGGTCATTTTGACTTTGGGGAAGAGCTAGAAGTCGTACGGTGCCAGATCCAGTGAATAAGATGGATATCTTCTTCACAGCGTCATGTGTTCACAAGGCTGCCTTTCCATTAGGTGACACAGCAGCATTCTCTGTATTTTTTTTATCACATCTGGTAAAGACACTCATGAAAGAGGACTTGCAGAGCTGCTTCAGAAAGGGGCAAAAACAATGGGATAAGTGTATTTGCAGTGGAGGAGGGTTTTGAGGGGGATTCATGGTGATGTGCCTTTTCCTGTAATAAATCTTATTATTTTTAATTTAAACATGGACTGTTTTTTTGCTCACACCATATAGTTGGGATGAAATAGTACATGGCTTTTTCAGTGTGGCCTTTTCAACCTACTGATAAGCATTTGAGTTTGTTCCACATTTTAAAAGTTCTGTCGCCCCTCTCAGCAATGCGACAGCTGCACACAGGGCCAAATCCCTCAGCCCTGGGTCTGTAAGTCTAGCACATTTTTGTTCCCCACTGCTCAGCTCTGATACCTGGCAGATGTCCCTTCCTGAAAATCTTTGCTAAGGCGAGCTGGGTAGAAGGAGTGCAGACAGAAAGCACCTGTTTTCTTCAAGGCCTTAATGAAGCACCTGTGTTTCCAGAGCTTCGAGAAACAAGTCTGAGAAGAAGCGTCGGGACCAGTTCAATGTGCTCATCAAAGAGCTCAGCTCCATGCTGCCCGGGAACACGCGCAAGATGGACAAGACCACCGTGCTGGAGAAGGTCATCGGCTTCCTGCAGAAACACAATGGTAAAGGCCACACTGCTCTCTTTTCTGCCCCCGCCCCCGCTTTCCTGTAGGTAGCATCGTCAGGCCAGGCCTCCTGGACACTCTCCCCTGTTACTCCTGGGCTTCCCTTTCCAAGGCCCCCACCCTCCATGGCAGCCTTATGCCCAACAAGCTGGGGCAAGGACACTGCCCTCCCAGCTTATCTACTTAGCCAGTGGACTTCAGAACAGCTCTAGCTGGAACAGGTGGCATTCCCAGTGGGTGGGTCTTTGTCAAGAATCCCTGGGGCAGGGAAGCATTAAAACCCAAGTCAAAACCAGCACGGCTGGGCATGCCTATAATCCCAGCACTCTGGGAGGCTGAGGCAAAAGGATCAAAGGTTCAAGCCCAGCCTGGGCAACTTAGCAAGACCCTGTCTCAAGAGAAAAAATAAAAAATGGCTGGGAGGTAGCTCAGTGTGAAGACCCAGGGTTCAACCTCCATTTTTCTCCCCCACACACTCAAAAACAACAACAACAAAAATCCAGGTCAAGAAATGGAAGCTTCAGGCTGAGGAGTTAGCTCGGCAGCACACACCTGCCTGGCAAGCACAAGGTCCTGAGTTCAATTCCTGGTGCCAAAAAAAAAAAAAAAAAAATTGCAAGCTTCCCAGGGTTTTCCTTTCCTATCCACTTTTGCTTTTACCAAATGGCACGTCTATTCTGACTTCCTCTACCATAGGAAGGTTTTGCCTCTTAGGGTCTGACAGCTGGAAGAATGCATTTTGCCTGTAATGCCTGTGAGAATCTTCCATATTCTTCCAGCCCTCTGGCTCGTTCATGTTCCTGGGTAGATACTGTCCCATCACACAAAGCTTCCCCTGAAGCCAGCCTTGAACTTGTGTCCTTCTCAGATCCCCCATTTCCTTTTTACTCTCTTTGAACCCTTTCACCTCACTGTCCTGATCTCGCCTACCCTGCCACTCACCTTGCTTAGTACAAAAAAAATGTTTAAATGCTGAAGAATATTTGAGAGCATTTGGGAGCTATTAACAAGCAGAAAGATAAGAATTCTTTTTGCCTTAACCAAGACACCAAACATAATAGTCAAAATGTCAGAATTATTGAGGAAGTAATTACAGTTCTTCTGTGCTGACGGTAATGCTGCTGTTGCCCTGAACGTTTTCTGAGACAGGATTTCATGCAAGAGGGCACTGCTGGGAATTGGGAAGTTTCATTATACTTGTTATTCTTTTATTATTTCCTTGATAATTGTGTACACCTGTTAAGAATGGAACAAGGATGATGGATCCTCCTCTTGTTTTTCTAGTACTGTCCAGGGGAGAGGAAAGAGCATGTTAATTGCTTTTGTTAAAAGTCAGGGAAGACCAGTCAAGAGCAGGATTGGAGTAAAGCATTAGCAGTACTTAATTGCCCTGGTAATTTCATCAAAATGCTACTTTTCCTAAATGATGATTTGGCCAAGTGAAGTAGCAGGTTGGTTTGATGGCCAAGATATTTTGTGCAAATGACTCAAAGTAGGTCAGTGCCACCGAGAAGCAGGACAGCTGTTAAATAGGACAGCTGGGATCAAGTTCATCAGTGTGACATTTATGCGGGGCTCTGTCCACTGTGGAATTACAGAACTGTCAAATCGGGAACCCGGCCAGGCCAGGTCAGCAGCCGCTCAGCCCACTCGTACCAGGAAGGCTTGGGTGGTCTCACCCGCTTCTGCAGGCAAGGCCGGCTGTGCACAACCCATTTCACAGCAAGTGGGGTCCCCAGCGTCTCCTGCACCCTGTGACTCCACATTCAAAAGCAGGCGGAAAATCCCTTGGTTTAAAGCAAAAAACAAATGCGTGATATGACCAAAACATACAGCCAATGTTTCTGTTTTTTAATGTATTGCAGTAAAAGGCACATTGCCCTGAATCCCCCTCAGAACTCTTCTCCTCACTTGGAGCACACTGATCCCATCATTCTTGCCACTTTCCGAGGCAGTTCTGGAAGTCTTCTTTCCTGAGTGTCTTCACTTGCGATGTCATGGTTGCCTCGATGTCCTCAATTGATTCAAAATATTTACCTTTCATGGTCATTTTGACTTTGGGGAAGAGCCAGAAGTCACACGCTGCCAGATCTAGTGAATAAGGTGGATGAGAACACGGTGTCATGTTTCTACGAGCCTGCCTTTCAGTTAGATGGTTTAGGCAGCAGCTGTTGCTACATTTTTTATCATGCCTTAGAAAGACCCTCAGGAAAGAGGATATCCAGACTTGCTTCAGAAAGTGGCAAGAAAGATGAACTATGTCTGCTTGAAGTGAGGAGGAGTACTTTGAGGGGATTCATGGCAATTGATACGTTCACTGTGATGAATTTCAATAGAAACATTCACCGCACATTTTGATCACATCCTGCACTCATTCCCCACATCATCCACATAGACATGAGCCCCACGAGCACACAGGGTGGAGAATCCTGACTCAGCATTTAGCTGGTGCCCCTGTGAGCCCAACATTGTGCTAGGGGCTCTGTGTCAGAACTCCCCTGAGAGTCAGAGCAGCCCTGTGGGTCCGTCCCATTGCACAGGTGACACATGGAGGAACAGGAGATTGAGTCATTAACCCCAGCTGGGCAGCTAGGAAGATGGGGACTCTAAGCCCAGCAGACCTATTTTTATGCCCCTTCTGCAGAAGAGGTGGGGGGGGCTCTCAAAGACTGTTACCTCGGAGCTGCATTGTTACCTCCATTTATGCTGCTGGTCCTCAACTGTGGCTGCCCGCTAGAACCATCCAAGCAACTTTTGGAGAAATCATAGAGCTCGGTAAAGCCCCACAGACCAACGCCTCCAAATCTCTTGAGGGTGAGGGGCAGTGTGCGGGAGCCAGCTCCTGCCAGCTCCAGGGACAATTGCTACATTTTCAGTTTTGCAAGCCACTTGCATCAATATGGTAGCTCGAAGTGAGCCTCGGTAGAAGTATTTACCCAGAAGTGGGCCAGCACTCCAAATCCGGGCCTTTTGTGGTGGCGGGGAGCCCTGTGGATCAGCAGACCATCGGGGCAGACCTGACACCGGACACTGGTATTTCTGAAGTGCCCCGGGTGACTCCAGCGTGCTGCCAGGGTTAAGAAGCTGCGTTTGCTTTCTGCCTTCAGGCTCAAGGTAGACCAGAAGGGCCAGAAGGTTATAATTATTTAGCTCTTTCCCCAGTAATCTTTCCAGCACCCCTTTTTCTTTGCTTGGGGCATATAGCTGGACCCTGGAATGCATATTTATTCTCTTAGAGGTAGTCCAAATCAACAGTCTGACCATGTTTCTTTGTAGTGAGGTTTTGTGTCAGCAGTTTTTCTTATAACAGAGAAACTCCTGTATTATGCAAATTTTAGGAAATTGGACATGGCCATCCACATCTATCTGAATGCTGGGCCTACGGGACCCGGATGCCCACACATCATCTCTTTCCTGTGTGAATAGCGAGCTGATTCGATGGAACTTTGTCCCACTGTCAAATCCCATTCTTCCTCCAGCCTCTCCGGTGTCTGCATTCGTGCCTAGCAGGAGGGAAGGGAAGGCTGCAGAACACAGAGGAACGTCCCTTGGTCGGGCAGTATTTACCCACCCCTGTGGCTGGGTTTCTGCCCATTTTTTGACTTATCTTTGACCACATGCAAGATGCCCCGCCCCTCGTTCAGACACACAGGGAGCAATTGTGGATGAGCACTCCACAACTTCAAGCTCCACGAGAGTAGAAGCTGGGTGGCTGGCTCTCAGCTGTAATGCTTTCCTATAGAAATGGCCCTGGCTGTTCCTCCTTCCTTGCTACTTAGAAGTCACTCTATCCGCCCTGCAGCTTAGGAAATTGGTCCTGTCAGACGCCGGTGGAGGTGTGATTCTAGTAACATTTTTTGTTTGCTTTGAGACATCTTATCCACCTTACATCTTTTTGATATACTGCAGATTGACCCTTAACTTTCAGGGCTGTAATCAGATTGTTGAAATTCACAGTGAATGCGAGGCTGCTCTCAGGACTGTTGAGCTGATCTTGAGCCATCACAGAGTGATCCACAAGTTACTTAGGTCTAAGCAATGGCTTCTTCATGTCCCTTCACCAAGTTGAATGGACCTCTACCTAAATGAAATTTGGGCTGCTGGAGAGACTCCTCTCCTGGACTATCTACAGTTCAATGCTACTGGTCACAGGAGTTTTTTCAGATGAGTGTACAAGGTGTGATCAAAAACTACAATGAGTTTTTTTTTAATTTTTAATTGATTACCATAAGACACATTGCTAGAATCCCCTCAGAATACTCCCCTCACTTTAAAGATACCTTTCCCATCATTCTTGCCACCTTCTGAAGCAGGTCTGGATGTCCTCTGTCCTGAGTGTCTTTACGAGGTGTGAACAAAAATACAGTGAGTGCCACTTCCAAGTGCCGTCCAACAAAAAGGCGGCTCATAAACTGTGACGCTGTGTCCCTGCCTAGTCACTGGATCTGGCACCATGGACTTCTGCCTCCTCCCCAAAGTCAAAATGACCATGAAAGGTAAACATTTGGAATCAGTTTGGGACATTTGTGGCAACCACAGTAGCAGAACTAAGGACACTTAAGAAAGAGGACTTCCAGAACTGCTTCAGGAAGCGGCAAGAAGGATGGGTCAGAGTGTTTGAAGCAAACTGGGCCTTACTGCATCTCACTTGTGTTGGGAAGAAGGGAGAAGATGTTTATGGGCTCTATCTCTTTTCTAAATGGTCAAAGTGTGGCAGCCATGCATTAAGACCCGTGAGTTTCACCCTCTGTCTCCTGCCTGGGCAACACCCCAGGGTGTGCACTGGCCGTGATGCATGCGGGGTGCCTGTCTCTGCTTCCCAGCATGCATTTCACCACAGGCATCATGGCGCCCAGCGCTGTGGGGCAGCCACACACACCGACCCTCGTAAGTCGGCCCTGGTCAGTACTATTGACTGCCTGATGGCCAGCATGGTTTCCTCTCCTGGATTTCTTCCCAAATTCAACTGCCAAAGCTCTTAGCAGCACTTTTGTATTCCTTTAAAAGCCATAAAGAACAATAAATCCAATCTTTCAGAACAGCTGAGTGTTATTCTTTCAAACACTGGAAGGAAGCAAACTCCCCAGTACCACCGGGCACTGGCAGAAACCTTAGATGACGGGCAGAAGGGGAAGAGCTGTCAGGTGTGTAACGAGGCCCTTCCCTCCTGCTTGTTTATGAGAACCTGCAGAATTCACTCAGTGTCATTCACCCACACAGCAGGATTCATCATTTTGCCCCACCTAAAAGAGATTGCCAAAAACAGGGATGCAGGGCCGGGCATGTGGCCTGGTCCCAGAGTGGGCACTTAGCATGCATGAGGCCCTGGATTCTATCTTCAGGGCTGAAAAAAGAAAAAGAAAAAATGCAAAGGAGAGAGCCTTGAAATCTTTCTCCTGAATAGATGGATAGATTAGCTGCCTAAACAGTTTGCATTTCTCCAGGAAGTTTTCAACAGGCTAGTTTTATTCTCTAGAGTATAAGCCATGTAGTTTTATAATTTTTTAAACATTGAAAAAGTAATCTATAGGGGCTGGGGATTTAGCTCAGCGGCACAGTGCCTGCCTGGCAAACGCAAGGTCGTGAGTTCGATTCCCAGTACCAGAAAAAAACCAAAAAACAAAACAAAAAAAAATCTTTAAAGAGGCCTCTTGCCACGTAAGGTGGAGAAAAGTGTTGGTTTAAAATGTAGAATAAACAGGGAAAAAATCCCAAATAAACAAGACATCACATTTATGCCATCTGTAGTAATCTTATCAGCAGTAACTTCACAGTAAACTATGTTTTGAAAATTGCAAATAGGCTGGACGATATAAGGGGTCCTATGTAGGCTGATGATTATTCAATTGGCACATGTGACTGATATCTCCAGTACACAGTGGTTACATAAAATGGATATAGTTTAACCCCACAAAGCTTTGAGAAGAGTAAAGGTGGTCCTTAAAAACAACTAAGCAATGTGTATTTTTACAGCAGTAGTGGAAATGCTGAAAAATCTGTTATATCCTGCATGACACAGTGAGTTATTGACTGTAAACCTAGACGCTTCTGGAATTTTGTAGGGTTGTTCCTCCTGCTCCTCATCCTGTCTTCCTCCTCTTCCTTCTTCTCCTCCTCCCATTTCCTTCCCTCCCCGCCTCTATTCCCCTTTCCTCCTTCTCCTTCTCCTCCTTCTTCTCCTCCTCCCATTTCCTTCCCTCCCCGCCTCTATTCCCCTTTGTCTTCCCCTCCTCTCTTTCTTGGGGTGCAGGGGACCAAACCCAAGGCCTTACAAATGCAACACATGACCTATACCAGCTGTACCATGAGGCTACACTTGCAGCCCTTGGAATTTTGAAAATCCCAGGTCTCTGAAGGGTTTTGCTCTGCTTTGACCATGAAGAAGCAGCTTAAGAAGGTGCCCGGCAGCCCAGTCTTTGTTCCCTTTGCCTTGACAAGTGGCATCTACCTGACTGGAAGGGCACAGTGCCACCCGCAAGTGCCAGGCACCACCCAGGCTGAGTGTGGGGGCGGTCTTCCTGGAGGCTTCACTAAAAGGATGTGAGAAGACCAAAAGTGTTCTAAGCCCGTGATACCCAGAGTTCCAAGTCCCTGGAAATCAGTGTAACGTATTTTCTTGTGTTGGCTTCTCGAATTAAATTGCACAGAGGCTTACACAAAACCGTACAGAAGTAAACGTGTGTCAGTTTTCAGTCCAATTTCTCGGTGCCCTTGAACATAAAAGCTTACTTGTGTTTCGTTTTGTTTTTAGAAGTCTCGGCACAGACGGAAATCTGTGACATTCAGCAAGACTGGAAGCCTTCATTCCTTAGCAATGAAGAGTTCACTCAGCTGATGTTGGAGGTGAATGCCCTTTCAGATTAGTTTCATGGGATGCAAATTAAGCTGTCCATGCTTGTCCTTGATAAGCCCTGGTACCCAAAGGAAACCACCAGCCTTGACCCTGGCTGGCAACAGATACTGTCCGAGGCTCTGCCTGCCATACGCACGCTTCTGTGCCTGAGTTAGGTGATAAAAGCAAGAATTACCAAACTGCATGTGCTAGGCTGGGAGTGGTGGTGCACACCTGTAATCCAGCACTCGGGAGGCTGAGGCAGGAGGATCATTGTGAGTTTGAGAGCAGCCTGGGGTACAAAGTGAGTTCAAGGCCAGCCTGAACTGCATAGCGAGACTCTGTCTCAAAAAGACAAAAAAGAGCTGGCATATGCTTGTGGGTGCAGTGGCTTGGGGCTGGGACCCGGAGGGGGGGTGGCAGAGGCAGACAGGGAAGGAGGGAGGGCTATCACACTGTTCCGCACTTGCCCTCCAGCCCAGTGTCCCCTCTTTAGGATGCGGTGATTATGTTTGCCCCTTAATAGAAACACATTTGGAATACAAGTCTCCTTTTAAAGTTACGCTTCTGCCTTGAGCTCCTATGACATTCACATGGCCTCCAGTGAACCTGGGGACCTGAGCCTCCCGCTCAGCCCAAGCCCTCGCTGCGCTGAGATGCCCGTGTTCCCTCCTGTGGACCGGCTGCCCGCTTCACCTACAGGTCATGTTGGCGGGAGCTGACCTTCAGGGAAGTGGCCCTCCTAGCACTGCGCACTGATCCATGGGTGGCAGTCCTCGGACGGGGAGGAGCATGCCACCTCTACAGAGTGTCCGGCTGGGTGCTCTGCCTTCGAACCTGACAGGAGGCCTGGGAGGGCATGGGTACAACCGTGAGGACAGAAAGCCTCAGACCCACCCTGTCCTGGCTCTTGACCGAGGACAGCAGGGACAGGCCAGTTCAGCAGGAAGAGTGGCTTCTTTCTATATCTCATCTATGCACCTTTACTCGACTGATGTAAACTTCAACTTACATAAATTCTGCAGAAAACAGAAAGTACTGGAATAAGAAAATGCCTGAATAAAGATGTCCAAATATTATGAAATATAAATGCATTAATGAACATTTGCATAAAATGAAAGCTACTTAACGTTACATGGGAACTATATTTAAAGAAAATACAGAACTTTCTGCAGAGGCAGTGCATTTTAAGTATGTTAAATTTAAAGCGGCTTGTGAGCTATAATGTTGAATTAATGCATCGTTGTGCTACTTGATGTACATTGACTTATCTTTCCATTCTTATGGAAAAGTACTTAAAACACATAACCTCCTGGCATCAGCCTCTTTTTTAAGAGCTGGTAGCACCCACAGCCTTTTCCCTTTTTCAGTGAATTTCAAAGTAGCAAAAGAATTTGAGGAAACCAGACTTTTATAAAGTTAAACATGAATGTATTTCTGGGAAGGACTAAGAGTCAAGAGATTGGAGTTTCTAGAAAAAGGTTTTCAGATTTGTGCGGATGGTCCCTGTGGT